GACTAACACCTTTACCAGTCTTCAGCAAATCAGGCTTATTTTCTATCATGAATTGCTGGATTTCTCAACTCAGAATCTAACAATAGATCCAACATTAGTTTCAAGTGTTGTACTGCCTGTGGTTGCAACAGGGATTATTTAACCTGATGTTTTACTCTAGAGACATGTTTTAAACACTTTACCCCACCACTACAACCATATCTTGTGTTAAAATTGGTCTGCTAGTAATCAAAAGCTGTCTTCTGCATTTGATAAGTTAAACTTTAATTCTTCCATGATTGCTCTGTGCCCCCTACAAAAGGATCTGGGAGAGAAGGGCTAGTGTATGTCTGAAGGCAACTTCTTTTATTCTGTCCTGTGAGTACGAGATAGCCATTCATGGATTTGAAGAAGTGTAGAAATACTTTGGCAGCTAAGTGGAGGCCAGATTTGAGGGTTGTGCAGGAAGATTTGAGAAAGAGACACCAGTTAGGAGGCTCTCATAATATGTCAATCAGAAGATGATGAGGACCTAAAGTACTTGAGTGGGAGTATTGATAGAGAAGAGAGGATGATTTGAAGAATTTCTAGGAATTAAAATTGGCAGGACTTGGTGATTTATTGGTAAAGGTATATTAAGGGAAAGGGTTACCCTCAGGTTTCTGGCTTGGGTGATTAAGTTATTGATGGGGTCACCAATGGAGGTAGGAAATGCAGAAAGATTTAGAAGGAGTAGATTTGGAAACTGGGACTACATGGAAAATTATGAGCTCTAGCTTGTCCATACTAAGTTTGAGGTGCCTGTAAGATAGCCAGTTGTTTATGTTTAACAGTAAATTACATATATGAGCTGATGTTGAGGGAGAGATGAGTGGTGGAGATATTGATTTTGGATTTCTCAATTTATGGATTATTAAAATAATCTTCCCAGGGAGCCTGTGAAGAGCGAGAAAGTTAATCACTTGAGGACAGAACCCTAGGAACCCTATGCATGAAGATGACAACAGAGAATGAAGTAGGAAACTGAGAAGGTTAGTGAGGTGGGAGACTGTGGAGTTTCAAAAGGTGTCTGCAGACACCTTCAAATGTAGTAGACAGGCAAAGTGAAATAAGGACTGAAATGCTCCTGTTGGATTTGGCCAATTAGAATTTGTTTTGGTGAAATTAGTGTGACTAGATCCAACAGATGCTAGCATTAACCAAGACCTTTAAGATCATGTAGACTTGCCTCTTATTTTTAAAGATAATAATGTTTTAGAGATAAGAACATTTAGAATTTTTGTCTAGGTTACAACTGAAAATATTCCTTGCACATTGTAGGGGCTCAATAAACAGTAGTTGATTGGATGATTGAACTCTTTATTGCAAAGCCAGAACTAGAAATCATACATCCAGATTTATGTTGAGAGGAAAACTTTTCCTCTACCATCTTGTGTTCCAATGGTTGGGAGCCCACGAATTAACTGACAATAGACAGATTAATGGGAAAGACAAGGTTTATTTACCTGTGCATGCCACACATATATGCAGGACGATTCAGTAATGAGTTACACAATGAATAGCCAGAGGTACAGGTTTATATACCAACTTAACAAAAGAAGGAGGGGAGAGGGAGGGAATTTTAGGGCTTCCATGAGAAAGCATAGAAGGTTCTTTTGCGCTTCCAATAGAGGGGGATTAATGGCTGCTGTATTTTCAGGAGTATCTGCTTAGATAATGTTTCTGTGGCTAGTGATTGTTCACAAGTTTAAGTAATTTTAATCCCTTCATTCACATTGTAGTGCTCTTTTTCCTTACCATTTTTTTTCTCTAAACTGTGCTCCATGGAACTCCAGAGGCCCATGAAAGTATTTTAGAGATCTTCTACAAGAGTGTATTTTTCCTCTGTTGAAAAGATTAAATTTCCTGAAGATCTCATTTATCACAGTGATTTGATTATAATTTTACTGGAAAAGATTCTGTTCCTAATATATAATTTTTAATTAAAACTCACTGTATTAAGCTTCCAAATCCAAGGACATTCTGTATTGAGTTAAATTTCTCAAAATAGGAACGGTTAATTTTTTTCTCAGCAGTAGGAGTTCATTTATTCAACAAACATTTATAAAATGCTTGCTGTGGATGAGATAATGTCTTAGGCATAGGACTAACAGCAATGAATAAACAGATGAATTGCCATCCCTTTATAGAACTTATATTTGATATTATTGATAAACTTTAAAAAAAGAAATTTTTATGACAAAATATATGTAATTTTATGATTTTAGTTATTGAGTCTTTACCAAAAAACTGTAAAAATAATGGCTTTATAGTTTTATGGATTTAGATTCTGGTATTTATGGAATCTTTAGGTCAAAGAGAAGGTTGAATTAAACAATGAAAATTATTCTTAGCACATTTTCAGTAACACTCCTCTAGTATACAAATTCTTCCACATTAACTCATTAGGTCACACAATTAATCATCTGAACAACAGTCCTTTAAGAATTCTTGGGCTGATTTTATTCATAAGGAAACTGAGATAAATTGATGCAAAGTGATTTGCCCAAGATTATCTAATGAGACAATGTCAGAATCAAAGTCAAAATTCCTATTTCTTGGTTTTTTCTTTATTTCAATAACACCCCTTGCCCCCATAATCTCCAGGATTATTTGTACGTGCTCATCAACATGGTTTAATTTTATGAAGATCCTTAATTTTTAACCATTAAGATGAATTTTATTAGGTAGACAAAAGTAAATTAGAGATTAATTAGGAAGAAAGCTTTCCATTTGGAGTGGTCTGTTGAACTAATATACAAGTCTTTCACTTTTCGAAATATGACTTTAAATGAATATAAGATCATTTAAATATAAGTGAAATCCTTTTAAAATTTGGAGTAGTACGGTTAACCTCTGCATCAGACCTTGTTCTTAATTAAAAGCATTTGCCCATGTAGTTAATTGGAATAAAAATGTAAAGGGAGAATTGATTAACTGCATTTAACTCTAGATGAATATACACATACAATAAGGTGGATAATTCAAGCAAATATGTGAATAATTCCTTATTAAAAATTGAGGTTTGGGGAACCTAAATTACCCAATAACTACCATAATCCTCCTTCATTTGTTATATATTGACTAGGCTTAAAGTTTTGAGTTAATACAAAATGGGCTATGTTGACAACAGTGAGAAAGGAAAGATTGGTTCATTTTAGAAAATCTAACTTTGTTACCATGACATCATTTTATAGACATTATATAATATACAATACATATTTTATATTACATAAATATTTATTTTATATTATGTATATGTATGTATATGCACACACACATAACACACAGATAAACCTCAGCAACTCATTAGGAAATGAAATAAGTCATGGCTCAAGGAATCAGCTATTTTAAAAATTGTTTTATTCCCAAATATATTGCAGGAGAGGAACAGAAGACCTTTTTCCTCTACTCTTAGATTAGAGAAGTGACAAGACAGAGGAGAAGGACTTGGAGCTTCTAGGGGCAGCACATTGTGGGAAGGCAACTATATGGAGAAACTAATGGTAGATAAGGGCCAATTAGAGAGATTTGTTTGTGTAGACTCTGTCTCGGTGCTACCTTGCCTTCATGATAAGATTGTTACCCCTTCCTGCTCTAGAAGTGGGGTTAGGAGATACCTTCACAAGAGGAATTTATGTTCTGCTTTCAGACAGATAGGAGGAGGGTAAAGAATCGTCCTGTGTTTTTTTCTCAGTTGTTTTCAGCTCAAAATAATCCTTATGCCAGAGTAGCATATTTTGAGGTGGCATACTCTGAACCCCTTAAATATTATACATATGCGGAAAAAATACACACATTGTATTACGAATTTTCACAAACTGAACACACTCATGTAACTAGAACCCAGATCAAGAAATAGAACATTACCAGTACTCCAGAAGCAATCTCATGCCCCTTTTCAGTCACTCTCCCCCAAAGACAACCACTACCTTGATTCCTAAGACTCTAGAGTAGTTTTGCCTATTTTTGTGCTCTATATAAAATAAAGGATACAATATGTATTCTTTTATATCTGGCTTGACTGTTCACTGTTTGAGAATCACAAGGAAAAATGGTCTTCATTTATTGTTGTAAAAGGAAAAATGGTCTTCATTTATTGTTGTTACAAGAGTGGCTTCCTGAAAATCTGTTGGTTTTAAGTACTAAAGGAAGGATTATTGGTAATGCAAAGAGCGCTGGGCTAAGATTTGAAGTCCTGGCTTCTATTTCCATTCTATGATTAGGCAGGGATCTTGGGAAAGTCCCTTACCTCTCTAAGTTTGTTCCTTCATTTGCAAAATAGGGATAAGTGTGTGTGTGTGTGTGTGTGTGTGTGTGTCTGTGTGTGTGTCTGTGTTTCATAGGCTGTTTCATAGGCTATGAGGATCTAATTAACTTGTCTAAAGAATATTTCTTGAGCATCTATTGTGTTCTAGGCACTGTTCTAAGTACTAGTATATAGCTATCCACAGAGTAGACAAAAATTCATGCCTTCAAGGAGCTTACATTTTAAGATAAAATGGTATATAAAAGTATATTGAAAACTAAAAACAATCAAATATATGGCAGCATAATCTTTGTCATCATCATCATACAAACCAGTCACTAATACCAAAATCATATGTATTTACTTTATAATGCATTATTTTATTTTAACGCAAGTATCTGAGATCTATACAGTGGAAGTAAGTTGATTTACACTAGGATAATTTATTTTCCTCAAAACAGTTCCATCAGGTGTTATTTTGGGGGAATTTTCTCAGGGGCTTACTGATTAGCATGGGAAGGGATTAGAGATTTTCCGTGAAAATTCCACCAAATTGCCAAGCAACATGTAGATAATCAAAGGTTACTGGCATTTTACCTTTTGACTAATTAAAAACATTTAACTGAGAGATATCATAAAATGTGTTATTAGAAATTTTCAATATATAATTGAATAAGAAAAAAGCTTTCAAGGTATGAATGACTTGCTAATACTTAAAATGTTTTCCAGGTGTCTTTGATGTTGTTTTCAACAAAGGAAATATATGTGTTTTCCAAAGTCATGAAATGAGGCATCTTTCTCTTGCTCTTGACAATGGCTCTGTCACTGGCATGGTATGTAGCAATTTTTCTCTTTGCCACCTATCAATAATATTGTATCCATATATAATATATATTTTTGCATAAGGCACTTTTACAAGATGATCAAATTGTATTTTCCTTTGGCTTTTGCTTTCACGTTTTTCATTATTCTGTTTTATCTCACTAATTTTTGAGATTCCAGTGCATAAATAGTCCTAAATTTCAGCAAATAGAATTTAGACAAGAAAAAGTAGACAACTTCTCTGATAACATTCAAAATTTTAATGAGCCTCTAAAAGGAGACAATCTGACTTTTCAAAAGTGCCTCCAGGGACCATATTATTATGAAAAAAAACCAATGATTTTACATTATTATGCTTTGTATTGCTTAGTCTAGGTTTCAAAAGTAACTTTTAATATATAAAGCTGTCTTTTTAAAATATACGGAGATTACTTATTTTGAAAATGAGACAGCATAGGATAATTGTCATGCACTAAGTGCTTAATATGTGTTATAACATTTAGTCTTTACATCTACCCTGTGAGAGAATCCATTACTACCTTGTTTAACAGAAGAAGAACCTGGAGGATAGAAGGATTAAGTGAGTTGTCCAAGGTCACATAGCTAGTAAGTGTGAAAGCAGGAATTCAACAAAGGCAATCTGACTGCAGCTCTCATGCTACAGCTTCCTCATATAATGTTATATAATATTATGTAATGATTTTTAACTCAAAGAATATTATTTAACTTAAGGGAAAATAATAATTACTGAAAAAGAACCTTAATGTAATTTGTAGGACTGAAATTCAGGCTAAGTGATTAATTGGTCAAACTTCCTCCATGAAGTCTTTTCTCCTCTGCTCCAGACTTAGTAAGTTACCCTCTGCTGTACTTTATAACACATTCTGCTCAATACAGGTCCTGGTCATAGTAAGTGCTTAATAATATGAATGTAGTGGGTATGGAATTTACTCAATTAAATTAGGAGTTCATGAAATGTCACATTACTTTATTTTTCTAAAATCAAGTTAAATCTATCTTCAAGCCCCTGTCCCACTAGTTTGGTGAGAGATTCCATCTTAGTTATTATGAGATTCATCTTGTTATACACAAGATTTCACCTGGTATGGGGTTTCACAATATCTAGTGACAGCCCTCTTAGCTTCAGTCTACACCATTCACTACTGATAGACTCATCAAACATCAGATGGTTTCTAGAAGGCAAATAGCTCTGTTGCTTACCTGCCATACTTAGACAAGGGAACTTTGTCAAGGTTGGTAGCTTAGTGTCATGGGTCAAGCCATTCAAGGGACATCAATGAGTCCTCCCTTTTCAGGTCCGAATGCCTCCCTGGAGCACTAAGTAGAGATGGGATAAGACCTCAAGCAGTACCCTGAACCAGGAATGTCTCCCTATAGGATAAGCTCCTTGATTTGTTTAGTTTTTGAAAGCAAAACCAAGTAATGCATGTCTGTTAATTTCAGCTTTTGGTCCCAAATGGTCTTGAGTTGGGAAGATACAAATGAAGAAATGAAAAATAAACAATAATAAAATACATATTAACATCTCATTAAATTATCCTGCCACTGGAGTTATTTTTATTTTACCCAACACCCTACCATGGATTCTGAGAAATCAACAGAAGAAGAAAGTCCTTGGAGCAAGACACTAGAAATCAGGCGGGGGAATCAAAACAACTGAATTACAAAAGCATGGGATTATATAGATAGTTCAAGGGTTCTGTAGAGTGGAGTAGACCTGTGCATACATATAATGTCAGAATATTTTTAATTTAAATATTTTCTATTGCTAATTCAGAGGTTTTCTTTTCCGTTTTTTTGCTTTTAGGCTAGTGGTGGAGTCTCCACTGAGCTGCGGGTGCTTTATCAGCCCAACCGCTGTGTACTTCTTGAGTCAGCACTGGTTCCTGGTCACACAGTTATTTTTGATCGTCATGGCAAAAGAGCTGATGAATCATCAGCAGGCTATGCAGACCTTTCAAAAGAATTTGTAGTTTTTGTCAAGGTAAGGCAGAGAAAAGTCATTAAAGTTTATATTGCTAAATACCCACTTTCTTTTGCTCTGTTGAGGAAAACTCTTGAATTGAGTCATAATGGAGTAATCAAATCTCTTCCCGCTAGGTGGCATTGATACCTATTGACATTATATTTACCTAGACTTTGAAAGGCAATAGGGATCATGGCTTTAGCAGCAATGAAACTGATGGGAGTAACCGCCTATATCCAACTGAAGTTAGAGGTTAAAACTATGGGTGTGGGGATTCTTAAAAAAAGTTAGAGAATCTTACATTTGGGAACAAACAAATGTATATATTTAACTTTTCTAACAATTAGAATATTTACACCATTTGAGTGTTGTGTATGTGTGATTATTTCATAATGCTTATGCTTCTTTCTTTATGATTGTGAATTTATCTTAAAAATAACATTATCATGCTAATATAATAGCTATCATTTATGAGATTGCCTGTTTTGTGCCAGGCAATTTACTGAGAGCTTCACCACATACCAACTAAATTTAATCATCATAAAAATACTGATGGATATTTTTATCTATATTTTAAACATGAAGAAAATATTTTCAGAGAAGTTAAGAATCTTGACTAGTATAGCTAGTAAATGGTGTATCATGAATCAAATCAAAGTCAATTTGTCTTCCAAACGTTTTATGTAACACTTCATCACAGTATTTTTCCCAAAAATGACGTGATTTTTAATGGTTGCGTAGTATTCAAACATAAGGAATATATATATGTTTATCATTGGACATTTAATCTCTCATTTTATCACCTCTATGTTACTGCACAATATACTTTGACAGATGTTTTTCACCACATATTTTATTATTTTCTTACCTTACGTAATTCAAAATTGAATTTAAGGGTCAGAATATGAAACCTTTAAGTCTCTGGGAATATACTGCCAAATTTCTTTCCAAACGTGTACCAGTTTTTAGTCCTGTGAAATTTAAGCCAACTATGATGTTAGAGGGAAGAGTTCATATGACCACCCTCGCTTCTGACTCAAACATCAGTGTTCGGGGGTCCTTGAGACCACTATCAAGGTTTGATAATTCACTAGAATGGCTCAGAACTCACCGAATGCTGTTACACTCGTGGTTATGGTTTATTACAGAGAAAAGATGCAGATTAAAATCAGCTAAGGGAAGAGACACATAGAGCAGAGTCTAGGAAAAGTACCAAGCATTGAACTTCCAGTTGTCCTCTCCCCGTGGAGTCAGTACAGCGTTACTTTCTCAGCATTGATATGTGGCAATATGCATGGAGTATTGCCAAGCAGGGAAGCTCACCTGAGCCTTGATGCCCAGAGTCTTTATTGGAGTTCCATCATGTAGGGAGTCCGTGTGGCCGATCTCAGTCTTCAGCCTCTCAGGAAGTCAACTGACACTTTGTGACTCAAAGCTCCCACCCTAAATCACATTTTTATTATCTAGCTGTCCCAAGGCCCTCAGGTAAACAAAAACACTCCTATTAGGCATGACATTCCAAGAGTTTAGAGATTACCTTTTATAAAGCAAGGGTCAAGGCCAGACTTCTCTGGGTAAAGTTAAATTCTTTACTCCCCAGTCCCTCCAGCAGTGTGGGAGAGTATCCATCTCTTTGACCTCAGTGTTGGTCACTGACACTCATCAGTGAGGCCAATGACCAACATTGGTCATTAAGTTGGTCCTTAAAAAAAAACTTTGGTAATTTTCTAGAGAAATAAACATCTACTTTTAGCTTTATTTTTTTTTATTACTAGCGTGGATTACCTTTTCTTATGTTTATTCACCATTTGTATTTTGTCTTTTGTGACTTGTGTATTTATGCCTTTTATCCATTTCTCTACAGCGTTAGTGTATTTCTAATTAACTTTCAAGAACTTTTTATATCTTCTTCTTAAGCTATTGATTACATAGGATTTACTTAAATATACCTCAGATGTATTCAACATCTCTTTTCATTCATTCATTCATTTATTCCTACATGCATACTTTTAACTAATATCCATATAGTGCATTTCATAATTCAGGTACTCTTCTAGTATACTATTTTTATTCTGCTTTGTATTAGTATTAAAATTATTTGTTTATAGTGATTGTAAATTTCTTAAGAGGGGTGTTTGTGCTTTTTATCTTTTTAAAATGTCTGTAGCTTCTGATGCTGACCCTCACACTCTCAATAAGTAATGATTGATGTAAATTATAATCAGTCAGCCAGACAACCTCCTTTAGTTTTGTTTAGCTTTGCATAGCAATTAAATTATTTCTTTCTTTCTTTTGCTCATTTTTAACAACCAAGCTTTGGGTAAGATCCTGATCACTGCAACTTCTATAAGAGAATGGACTCTATTGCCATGTTTCTCTAGCAAAACATGAGCTTTTTATTTACTGCCTTTCTGTTCTGTTTGTTGCTCTGAAGGGTATGTTCCTCAACAGTGCTGTGGTTCTACTTACTACGAGTCTATGCCAGGCCCTGTGTCTCCAGCCCGATGGGAGCTGCACTGGAGTGGGAAACCAGTCTGAAAGATCCTACTGGAAGGTGCATAAAATCAGCTCTGGGATTTTCATGTTTGAAAGTGTGAAAAATGCACAGATGTATCTGAGGATTAAGGATGGCCGGTGTGATGGAACAGTAAGCATCTGCTTGTATTTTTCTCAGCAAATGTTTAAGACATTTGCCAATAATAGATATCAGAATGGCACTTTTCGAGTATTTTGTTTTTTACTTTTAATCTATGAACATTCTGGAAATTGGATGTTATATATGGTGGTCCCCCTTGACTGATATTTTTAATAAGTGGGGAGGGCAGCTGGTATGATTAGAGAGGGATCTTCATCCTTTAGACACTGCTTCTGAAACATAATGTGCATACAAATCACCTGGGAATTGTGTTAGAAAGCAGATTCTAATTTATATAGACTGCGGTGGGACCTGTGTGTCTGCTCCCAGCTGTTGTTGATGATGTTGGTCCACAAACCACGCTTTGAGAACCAAGGCTCTAGAAAGTCCCAGCTCAACAATATTTCCTCACTGCTTCTTTTGGTGCCTGAATTTCCACCAGTGGAAACCCTGTACTTTGAGTATGGAAGTAATTTTAAATTCCAAATATTAGGGATTCTTCTTTAACATCTTAAAACTTAGTTGGGGATGTGGAAGGCAACTAACATGGCATCTTTTATATATTCATAATTCTTCTAGGGGTTGAGGGGCATGTAAGATTATACATTTAACTTGTCTGTTAATGCTCTGTCCATCTGTTCTTGTTTGAAACACTTTGGTTTAAACTGTTTATCTTTTGGATAAACTCATTCTCCCCTTTCTCCTTACCATTGTGGCATCTGGCTATACGAGAGCGTTTGCATGAGCTTCTGGGGATGAGGAGAGGAAAGGTTTAGATCATTCATGGTTTCTCTGGGTCATTTTCTTTGCTGCAGACTGACGAGTCTATGCTTGGTGAGCTGCACTGATGTTCACAGTGCAAAAGAGAAAAGCACATGCACAAACACACACATTCAATTAGTATCCTTGATCGACTCACAAGAGTACTGTGAAGTGGCCTATATTCCATTTCACAGAAGAGGAAGCCATACTTAAGAGACAAAATGTCGTGCTTATGGTCTTTAAACTGGTAAGTAGACTAATTGAGATTAAAAACAAGTAACATTACTTCTATGGCCAGATTAGGTGAGAGTATGATTTCATCTAATGCTCAGTCGTCCCATAGGGGGAACAGCGGGAAGGAACTTTTCCTTCATATCACAAACATCCACAAAGTATACAAACCTTTCTCTTCTGGGGCTCATAGGAGTGTTCAGAGCCATGAGACAGATCCTGTGTTACTGCATGACACATGTTTTGGTGTATCTGTGTTTCAAAGTTGCTTAGGGAAAGTTTTATGGGGGCACAGATAAATGGGAATGGGCCAACATTGGAAATTGTGTCGTCCCTAGATGACAACCAAAGGGAAAACTCAGTGCTCAGTCACCTTCCATTTAGCTGCCTCATACTCAAGTTGGATGGTGATTTTCATGGTTCGTCCCTTTTTCCCCTTCCAGTCTGTGTAGACCCTCTCTGTTTCTTTCATTCCTTTCTCAGTGTGCTGTTTATCTTGTCCCTCCAAGTGAGTAAATTTCCTCTGCGAGTGTATAGCAGAATCTTGAATCTTTCTGCCCTACTCTGAATACTCATTCTTTTTTCTTCTTCTTCTTTCCGTTTGTGCTTTGCGTGACTGAGCTCTATCAGATTAGGCCAATGGGATGGAAGAAGTCCTTGGTGTTCAATTGAGAGAATTTGGTGAGCACAGGAAGATGGGTGGAAACTTACAGATTAATACATAGAAGTATTGTCCTGCCACAGAGGAACTATTGGCATGTTCATTCTTCAGATGAAGAAGCTGAATGTAAGCCTGGTTAAGTAAGTTGCCCAGAGCCCCCCGGTCAGTGTCAGAGCTGAGAGTCAGTCCAGGTCAGTCTGTCTCCTTACCCCCTGTGATGGAGGATTCACAGTAACAGGCTGGAGACAGTGGGTTGACCCCCTTGAGGAGACCAGGGTCAGGATAGACAGAGGGGAAGTGATTTCAAACACAAAAACAAAATTTTCTTCTTCAGCAATTTTCTAGAACCAGTCTTGTTGACAGCTTCTCAGGTGAATGATGGGGTCTGAAATTGTATCCTCTCAACCTGTGCTGTGCTTTGTATGAACACCAGGAACCCCCCTTTCTCTCCCCTCCCTAATGGACTTTTCAGGATGAAAAGCTAGGTTCTGAATTTCCTGTGCACTTTGGACCTGAGATGGGCAATCATATACTGGAGTTTCAAACCCAGGTATCACTTCTTCTTAAAGATATTTAATAACTTGAAGAAAGCAGAGGTATCTATCTATTTGCTTTTGGACAGAGATAGCCAAAATGGAGAACCCAGTGAGATCTGTTGATAAAGGTAAAGGAGCATAAATGGTTTGATTACATGGAATTTGATATTTAGAACATTAAAATAAGGAATTCAGGCCATTTGAGAGTACAATGCAGAGATTCTCTAGGCCTTTTGGAAATGAGCATTCCATATCTTGATTGCATGTAATTTATCCAGAGGGTTAAGTTCATTCTTCTGAGGCCTTGTAAGGCGACACATGTATGTGAAGCAGGAGCTGAATGGAAAAGAGACTGATAAGGTGGGGAGGGGCTGGGGGGTGGTCGTCTAAAAGGGCAAACCAGAAATAACAGGTCCACATAAGTCAAAATCTTACATACCAGTTCAGTACACTGTAACTCCTACAAGTGTAACTTCGGGAAAGAGCAAAGAGTAAAGGAGCCTTGGGGATCCAAGATGGGGATAAGGCATTGGCTGGCCACATTATCAATATACAATTTCTCCTACTGAGATCCAGTCCCCACCCCACAACCCCAGCAGTGGGCTGGGACTTCCAGAGGCTCTTCCATGCTGGAACAGCCAGAGCACCAGGGAGGAACTAGGAGGGTCAGGCTGCAGCTATTTACCATCTAAAATGGATGTATTTCAATATTTAAAAAATGGGTATGGCTCTACTAATGTGTCCCAGTGCATCACCACCCCCCCAAACACACACATAGGGTGAGGTGTATGTAACCTTTGAGCACCGCAAGAAAAATCTTACTGTTTTTTTTAAACGTCAGTAAAAATCTTCAGCTTGAGGTAAGGTTTTGGAGGTCTTCCTGGCCTATGACATACCTATTGGTCGGTTACTTTTGTCTGTCTGCCTCCTAAAATCGAGGGCTCTAACATTCTGTAGAGGTCTCTAGCTTCCTGGTGTTTCTGTTAAAAATTCTAAGCGGTCTTGGAAAAAATATTGCATTGAAAAGTTATTGCTAAAAGATTTGAAATTTTAAAGAAGTTTTCCATGAAGCCAGAGGCTCCTGAATACTCTGTAAATCATAGGAAAAAGTGCCATTATTCTGGTCAAAGGTGAATTTCCTGATATTGTAACAAGATCAGCAAGGAAAGCAAGGAGAGAAGATGGACTAATATTTTGAGTGTCTGTTGTGTGGCAAGGGCTGAACTAGCTTTCTAATATTTGTAATGACATCCTTTAACCCCTAAGCTAACACAACAAAACAAATAATTAGGCAGGCAAACAATAGTAGCATGGCTTTACCTAAAACTGACCCACGTAAATGATCTAATGACTCCTTTTGCATAGTTATTAAAAGATTGGCCAAGCTTGACGAATTTCTATTCTAAATTTAATGCTTTTATCAGGCACAGTCCAGATCAGTCCTGTCCTAGGTTCTCGTTGAGACTGGCCTGTTGGCTGTGGCCTCCCACACATGCTGTCACAGGACATCAAGGTCAGTGAGGGCTCCTCCTGTGGGTCCACTGTAGCCACTTGTTTTGTGCATAGAAGACCTGTGTAGTTAACTGGAGGCTGGAGGCCTCTGAGGCTACCTCCTGATGGCGTTTACCATTTAAACAACGTTGATGTTTAACCTTTGCTTTGGTACGTTTGTAGAGAAGAGCCTCCACAGAACTCTCATCATTTGTATTTTACTTCTGCTACTTCCATTGTAGCATTTTCTTTACATTATAAATTGTTTAGTGACTCATTGATATGGTTGTCTGACTAAAATTCTCCATCTAAAATTTTGCTAGTGGGTCTTTTTAGTCAAAATACGCATGCTTTTTTTTGTTCTTAAGAAATGGTATTGATGCATAACAATCAGGCATATTATTTTTCTTTTTTTTTTTTATTGCGGAAACATTCGTTTATAACATTATATAAATTTCGGATGTACAGCGTTATATTTTGATTTCTGTGTAGATTATATCACATTCACCACCCAAAAACTAATTATAATCCATCACCACACAAAGTAGACTATTATCTTACACCATACACAAAAATTAACTCAAAATGGATTAAAGACTTGAATGTAAGACCTAAAACCATGAAATTTCTAGAAGAAAACAAAGGCAGTATGCTCTTCGACATTGGTGTCAGCAACATATTTTCAAGGACCATGTCGACCAGGCAAGAGAAACAATAGAAAAAATAAACAAATGGGACTACATCAAACTAAAAAGCTCTGCACAACAAAGGAAACCATCAACAAAATGAAAAGACAACCTAACAATTGGCAGAAGATATTTGCAAACTATAGATCTGATAAGGGGTTAATATCCAAAATATATAAAGAGCTCATACATCTCAACAACAAAGAAACTAACAACCCAATTAAAAAATGGGCAGAGGATATGAACAGACATTTCTCCAAAGAAGATATACAGATGAAAAGATGTTCAACATCATTAACCATCAGGGAAATGCAAATCAAAACTACAATGAGATATCACCTCACTGCCATCAGAATGGCTATAATTAATAAGACAGGAAGCAAGTGTTAGAGAGGATGTGGAGAGAAAGGAATTCTCATACACTACTGGTGGGAGTGTAAACTGGTGCAGCCACTATGGAAAACAGTATGGAGATTCCTCAAAAAATTAAGAATAGAACTATCATATGATCCAGCTATTCCACTGCTGGGTATTTATCCAAAGAACATGAAAATACGAATGCGTAAAGATACATGCACGCCTATGTTCATTGCAGCATTATTCACAATAGCCAAGACTTTGAGGCATATTGTTTTTCGTTTTCAT